ATTCTATCTAATAATAATTTGTCTAAACTTTAATTTTTGTTAGTGATCTCTTGTTTTGTTCTTTAATTATTTATTTACGTAGTGATCTTATAGTTAGGCAGTTTTCCTGTCCATAGTCAATGTATTCGGTAGTATTTCTCAGTTACAACTTCAATTTCCTTATAGCAGTTTAGGTTGGGGAACCAAATTTCGTTTCTTTCACACACCCGAACTGAATTTATTCGACTTATTGTCAGCTTGCAGCAGCGTGCTAACCTTCTTTATATGGAATGCTGGAATGATTGTGGATTACATTGTCCTTAATTATACGAATTAAAATAAAATATTATATGGACGTATGTTCAAGTTTCCGGAACCCATTGGTCTTCTTGACAATCCCATCATGTTGAATATAATTCCATCTAAATAGTTGTTTACGGTTTCATGCGTCACTATTAATCCCTATTCATATGAAAGTAGACACAAACAGGTTGAAGTGGGGATTTAAGGCTGGATGCTTTTCCTAACACCTCTCTGTGGGCTCGAATATGACTTTGAACTCCTCTAACAATGAATATATTTACACCATGAAAGCGTAAATTTAGATCTTCCAAAGGCATAGAAGTTTCGTAAAAGTAACTCACACACACACACACACACACACACTGACAATCTGGAAGCATGTGTGACCTGATCTTTATTTTAAAAGGAAATATGGAAATAAAACCATCATTAATAATGACCTGTTTAACCCCCCCCCCCTTCGAATGTAATCTTATATAATGTATAAGAAGAGCTTCATACGTTGGAAATAAAGTCTTATTATTATTATTATTATTATTATTATCATAGAATTATGAAATCATTTCTAGTCTTGCGTGTTTACGGGTGTTTAACCATGACCCCATTACGTAATTATAATTCAACTCAATAAGTCGCAAAAATTTCTATATGTGACAGGATGTTCTTCATATGGGTATCTAGGGCATGCCCATATACACCTAAATAACGGGTTCCAAAACATGGGTTCGCGAACACACACACACAAGGCCCAAGCTTGACTACTCGGTGGCTGGAGTACAACTTCAAGAGACAGAAAATGAGAGAGATCTAGGAGTAAACATACTGGCAGATTTGTCTCCAGAAATACATATAAATGGTATAGTAAGGGCAGCATATGCATTCTTATCAAATGTAAGGGTAGCCTTCAGGCACATGGACAAGGAAATGTTCAGAAATATTTATGTAACCTATGTGAGGCCAAAACTCGAATATGCAGCCCCCTTTTGGAATCCGCACTTGAAAAAGCACATAGCTAAGCTTGAAAAAGTTCAAAGACATGCCACGAAACTGGTGCCAGAAATACGCAATCTCAGTTATGATGAGAGGCTGAGGGAATTAGACTTACCATCACTCGAAGCTAGAAGAGTGAGGGGGGGATATGGTGACAGTCTTTAAATTCCTTCATGGTTATGATAGAGTGGATAGGGATCGATATTTTGATATGGCTGGCTCTAGAACTAGAGGTCATAGTTTAAAGCTTCGTAAGAAAACTTCTTCGCAGGATGTAAGGAAATACTTTTTCAGAGTAAGAGTAGTTGATAATTGGAATTCGCTAAGCGAGGAGGTAGTTAATGCTATCTCAATCCATAGTTTTAAGGACAGGTATGATAAGTATGACTAAGTATAAAATGGAACCGATCAGGAGACGGGAAGATACGAGCTTTGGGCTCTTTCCCGTAAACACAATTAGGTAATCACAATTAGGTAATCACACACCCCGGGTTCGCCGGACGTTATCCATGGGGCACTTAGATGGCTCACGAAAAAGTATTTTAAACAGAAATTTATTTCAAATTGTTTGTGATGTCTATGCTACTGTTTATTGAAGTCATTATAATTTAAATTCTATTTTGATATTCACTGCAGCAGGGCCAATGTATACTGAAAGTTAGTATTACTATATGACAATTCCATATTCGGTGTCAGATTGATGGGTGTAACTAAAGGAAGGTGGTTTTTACAGATCAGGGGGTACTTAACGAGAAAAAGTTTGAGAACCTGAATGAACTTTACACTTAGGAGACCCAAGATAGCCCTAAGACCATTCGGTTTTACAACTTGAATTGCAAAATTTACGTGCGTAAACAATCATCCATGTGGTCTTTGCTCTGACCCGCCATTTTTTATTTTGTTAATGGCTTAATAGAGTTGGGAAAGGATAAGAAGGGTTATTTCTTTGTGAAGAAAGAATGCGTTTTATACTCTCCTCTTTGGCCTAGATTTTTAGCTAGATGCCGGAGTTAGGTTTTTTTTTATTTATACTGGTTTATTTCGTTTTGCTGCTGTTTTTACTGTGTGATTACCTAATTGTGATTACCTAATTGTGTTTACGGGAAAGAGCCCAAAGCTCGTATCTTCCCGTCTCCTGATCGTGTGTGTGTGTGTGTGTGTGTGTGTGTGTGTGTGTGTGTGTGTGTGTGTGTGTGTGTGTGTGTGTGTGTGTGTGTGTGTGCATTATACAGTCTCTTTTCTGTATTGATGTATGTAATGTTCAAGTGTATATAATAAATGCACAAATGAGTTTTTAATCTATGTATAAGTATGAAAAAATAAGCTGACGTTATAAGAATAGATTAATAATGAAAATCCGGACAAAACAGAAGCCTCGGCGAATACATTACTACTTTCTTTTGCATTCCCATGTGTCCCTATTTGTCCCCATTCAAATGGGGGTGGACACATAAGTTGGAGCTATAAAGGGGAATGAAGCTGGATGCCCCCCTAGCACCTTGTAATGGGATCAAACCTAGGGTAGTCAATTCTCGTCTCACGCACTTTACAACTGAGCTGCTGCGGCTCCCATATTATTATTATTATTATTATTATTATTATTATTATTATTATTATTATTATTATTATTATTATTATTATTAGTGTTATTGTTGTTGTTATTGTTATTGTTATTGTTATTGTTATTGTCGTTGTTGTTGTTGTTGTTGTTGTTGTTGTTGTTGTTGTTGTCGTCGTCATTATCATTATTATTGGCCTTGTTCCTCTGAATATTAATTACGTAAACGCGAGCATAAATATAAAATTACGTATGACAAAGAAGTGATCCTAAGTATGGTACCGCGATAGCACAGTGGTCACAGCTCTCTAACTTTGGAAATGATAGGCCAATGATCCAGCCACTCGTGAGGCGTTAGAAAGGCCATCCAGTCTTAGTTCCCAGCCCCAAGCTGTCTATGTTCACCCCCATTCGAATGGGGATGTATAGTGATATATTAAACGGTAAACCACAATAACAACACCAACAACACCAACAACAACAAAAACAGTGATCCTAGAGTTAGGCATTTGCTTAATTTCTCATAAAACTGCAAACAGCAACAACAAAAACAATGATCCTATGTTAAATTTTAACGTAAAATCTCATAAAACGACAAACAACGTCAACAACAACAACAGTGATCCTAAAGTAAGGCTTTTGCATAATTTCTCATAAAATTGCAAACAACAACAACAACAGTGATTCTATGTTAGGTTTTGACGTAATTTCTCATAAAACGGCAAACAACATCAACAACAACAGTGATCCTAGAGTAAAGCTTTAGCACAATTTTTCATAAAACTGCAAACAACAACAACAGTTATCCTATGTTAGGTTTTGATGTAATTTCTCATAAAACGGCAAACAACATCAACAACAAGAGTGATTCTAAGACTTTAGCTCAATTTTTCATTAAACGGCAAACAACATTAACAAAAACAATGATCCTAGGGTTAACGGTACTTGAGTAATTTTTCATTAGACGGCAAACAACATCAACAAAAACGGTGATCCTAGAGTAAGGCTTTAGAGTAATTACTCATAAAACGACAAGCAACATCGACAAAAACAGTGATCTTAAGGTTAAAGTTCTTGTGTAATTTCGCAATTTTGTTATTTCTTTGTACTAAGCATCACAGACATATCTAATTTCCTTGGGAAATGCGTCATCTTATTTATTCTAGGTAGATAGGTCGTTGTTTGGTGTTTCTTCTTCTCGTTATTTTCGCCTTTCCATCTCTGGCACAGGATATGATGCCATCCTTACGTGATTTCTGTCACGAGATTTTAGATATCTCTGGATATATTTTTCGCCTTAATTTATCTTTGTTTTCATACGATTAGTTTGGATACGAGACTGGAACTGGGGAATTAAGGCTAGACACCCTTCCTAACGCCCTGCTGTGAGTTCGAACGTGAGTGCGTCAGTACGATTCGTGGGGACCGCCGCAGTGTATTGACTAATTATCATTAATCATCTTAAACATGGTCATAATTAAATCTTAATCTTCTACAGTAATATTAGGGAAAGATTTGCATATTTATTGTTTTAACTATATTTCGCAGTTTTATGTGACTTAATGAGTAGGTTTCTGGGGACTGCAATAGCGTTGTGGTTAAAACACTCGACTCTGAAACCAACTAATGCTGATTCGAACCCACCGCGGGGTGGGTGGAAATGCATCCAGCCTTAATCCCCCAGTTTTAACAAGTCTGTGTCCACCTTCATTCGATTGGGGACAAATTATGACTTAGAACGATGCAGGTATATATTTACGTAATCTGTTATTTCCATTTCTTCTTTTTTTTTTTGCTTCAATATATATATATATAATATATATATATATATATATATATATATATATATATATATATATATATATATAAGGTCCATTTTTTCTGAAATTAATCATATATACATGATACGTGCCTTAGCATATGGCTTTACAGCGGTCCCCAAGCAATTACTAATCTCTATTTGGAACTAAGCAGTCGAAAAATCAGCAAATAACGAACGAGTAAACACCAAATATGACACTGAGAAAGTTTAACATCACGCGTTCACTCGCGTCGCGTATTGTATAAATTGCTTACGCAAATTTCGCGTTTAGAAGATACGTACAAACATCATGTTTTTCTACAGCTTGTTATTACACGCAAAAGCGAATTATAAAAGCGTTTAATGCGAGATCGCTGTGACAGAGTGGTAACGCTCGCGACTATGATTCGTCAAGACGTGGGTTCGAGACCCACCATGGTCCGAGGTTAGAAAGGGCATTCACTCGGGGTAATGGTTGATCTCTCAAAAACCAGAGACCTTCGCAAGAGGGCACCGTCCTAGACCTTAATAGAATAAGGGAGTCCGTGACGTAAAAGCTATCATTATGACGCTACTGAAGATACCACGATGACAGACTTTTTATTGTCTATTACCGACATGTGGAACAACACCTCTGCATGATATATTGCACGTGGAAATTGGCATCGTTTCAGAAAGCTCCATCGATCATAAAAGGCATGTTGAAATGAGAGAGAGAGAGAGAGAGAGAGAGAGAGAGAGAGAGAGAGAGAGAGAGAGAGAGAGAGAGAGAGAGAGAGAGAGAGAGAGAGAGAGAGAGAGAGAGAGAATCTCTATCTGTGCTTTTATGAGAGAGAAAGTTATTTATCTGTGCTTTCGAGATCTTAATGATGATATTTGTAATGGTATTAATCCAATTCAGTTTTTATTCAGCACTATTTATAATGAGGGCACACTTCCAGAACAATGGAAAAAAAGCATTATTATTCCAATTCCAAAAAAAGAAAGTACAAAATTAAGACCTATCTCTCTGACATCCTGCTTCTGCAAAGCCTTTGAGAGAGTCATTCTTAACAGACTTGATTTCACACTCGAGGGAAAATTATCAAATAATTTGTATGGATTTATGAAAGGAAAAAGTACCAAAGACTGTTTTGTAGAATTTATGAATGTTGAGCACTGCTCTGAAGTCACTGTTTTTCTAGATTTGCAAAATGCCTTTGATATTGCAAATAGAACCGTTATTTTGGATCATTTAGCAACTTTAGGGGTCAAAGGTAAACTACTGCAACTAATTAGATGCTACCTAAGTAGTCGAACCTCTAAAGTGTACTATAAAGGATATCTTACTTCCAGCGAAAAGGAATTTACACTGGGAACTCCTCAGGGAGGAGTTCTGTCTCCCCTTCTCTTTAACATCTTAATGGATAAGCTTCTCAAGTCTCTCAGACTACCAAATGATGAATGCACCATCATATGTTATGCAGACGACATATGTATAAGGGCACCTTCTGCCAATGATATGCAAATAATACTTAATGACTTTTCTCAAGTATCAAAAGACATTGGTCTTGTCATTTCAACTCCAAAAACAAAGTACTTTTCCAGTATCTCGCAAGAGCCTCACCTTGTATTAAGCAATCAAATGGTTAAGGTGTGCGAAAATCACAAATATTTGGGAATACCAGTTCCTTCTCCCCCTCACACAGAGTATGTCAAAGATTTGTGTGAAAGACTGCAACAGAGACTCAGACCGTTAAAGCTTCTTGCCAATAGGGTATCTGGTGTTGGAATTAACATATGCCGAACTTTCTATCTCGCATATGTCAGGTCATTAGTCGACTATCACACCCTGCAGCTCTGTACTATGACTACCTCTATCTTAAGACCCCTAGAAAAAAATTCAGAACAAAGCTATGAGGATTATTCTTGGCTGCCCTATGAGCACCAGAATTATAAATATGCAACATGAATTAAACCTCCCACCTTTGATAGAACATATCAAACAGTCAGCTGTGATATTTGGAGTTAAACTAGCGAAATCAGCTCAGCCTCATCCATGTAATGCTGGTCATTTGCAAGGGCCGCAGTCAGCGCCAACAATCATTAAATCACTAATAAAAAGTAACATACAGTATGAAAGACAAATTCACCCCAAAGTATTTAAGCTTATAACCAATGAGACAAAAAAACATAATGTAACACTCTTTACTGAGAGTGGTCCTGAACGATTAATAAATCCTTGCAAGAGGATTGGGCCAGAAATTCTCTTTCCAATATTATCATCTGGTCCGAATGTTGCTCCAATTATTAAAAAACATCAATGGTTAGATGAAATTGAAGCCTTTATTGAAACTAGTTTCCCAACTAACAATGAAACACTCTGCATTTACACTGATGGGTCTCACACAAGCAGTGCAGGAGGGTCTGGGTGCAGCATTGTAGTTTATGAAAATTTTGAAGGGCAGCAAATATTTGACAAAGCACTGAGTATGCCAAAATGGTCATCAATCACCGAATGTGAAATTGTTGGTCTAAAACTTGCTATTGAACATGTTCTCAGTGCTAGGAGAAATGCTATCATATTCTGTGACTCGCAGAGTGCGCTTCTGTCACTGAGATCATTAAAAAGCTCCTACAAAACTCACATGGCTGAAATTCAAGAGGCTCTTATTGATTGCGCAAAACTTAAACTCCAAGTTAAGTTTTCATGGGTACCCTCCCATGTTGGGATAGTAGGTAATGAAAAGGCTGACAGGCTGGCAAAAATGGCAACTGAGAGTTCAGTGTCTGAATCTATAACCACACTGACTCAGTTTAAAACAATGTTGTATAATGAGATTATGGAAGAGCAAGAACTTTCTACACTCACACAACATGTAAGCAGCTGTTCGATCCAACATTATGAAAACTTCAGAAGGCTGAGACACAAATACAGCATGGGTAAAATGCTTACAGGTGACTGTGATAGAGTTGCTGCCCGTATAAGACTTGGTTATAGAAATATATGGGAGGTGAATTGCGAGAAAACTGGTAGAAAGCACCCAGAACACTCAAAATGCCATTTATGTGAGTGTGAAGGGGGCAACAATTTAGTACACTACATTGCAGAGTGCACAAAGCTTAAGGACTTCAGACCTCTTGGCCTGAGCTACTTTGAACTTTGTGTGCACTTTTGCAACCCAGAGAACTTATATCCTGTACTTAGTGTATACCCAACGTTGAAAATGTAATTCTTTTACCCTCTTCTCCGTCTACATCTTTTCCCACATTTATGTGGGGTCGATGTTTCTGGTCAGTTTTCTCCATTTATTTCTGTCCCATACCTCATCACCCAACAAACCTTTAGACCTCAGATCATCATTGATGCAATCCATCCACCTACGCTTTGGTCTCCCTCTCCTTCTACCCTGTATATCCATTTCCATCACCCTCCTCCCAACATACTGTTCATCCCTTCTAACGACATGACCATACCATCTTAGTCTACTTTCTTGTATATTATCTGATATTTCTATAACTTTGAAAAAAAAAAAAAAAAAAAAAAAAAAAAAAAAAAAAGAGAGAGAGAGAGAGGGGTGGAGGGAATACCTTCTCGCCCCCCCCCCCCCCCTCTCTCTCTCTCTCCTCCTCTCTCTCTCTCTCTCTCTCTCTCTCTCTCTCTCATATGCCTTTTTATATACATAAGCCACTTTTCCCCTTATAAGGTGAGTGGCTGAGTAAAGGAATAATGCTCTGACTTTCTGGGAAGAGAAAGTACAGAGAAGGGTTCTTTCATTCCCTTCGCTCCGCCCCACTTAGTCTACTCTTACGACACGCAGGGGAACATGGAGGAAGTATTCTAACCCCCTCCCTCAAGAGCTCATATGTATGTATATGTGTGTACATGTGTGCATGTATGTGTATATGTATATGTATGTGTATATGTATTTATATGTATATATGTATGTATATGTGTATATGTATATGTATGTGCATGTCTATATGTATCAATAATTACTACTTTTGATTCATAACTCTATCTATATACAAAAGCTGTAGTAATGATGATGGTAATAATAATAATAATAATAATAATAATAATAATAATAATAATAATAATAATAATAATAATAATAGTAATTGACGTGGAGGTTTTGGACTTCCACTTGAACTCACACTTTGTAAGATGACTGGGTGATCTCACCGCTTGTCACCACTGACGTGGAGGTTTTTATTATTATCTCACCGAGCGTCACCACTGTCGTATTGGTTTTGTTTATCCCATCTAATGACACCACTAACGTAGGGCTTTTCCTCCTACGTATATTTACTTATAATTATGGTAGCGTGGTTTGTTAGGTTAAATATTAGTACCTGATGGGTACAAGGTAAGAATGGACAAGCAGTAGTTCCTTTACTTATATTTATTCTAGAGTACAACACATCCGACGCCTCAATGCCCCAATGCCCCCACCCTATGACTATCACAATCTATGATCTATTCGTG